ATACTGTACAAGTATGTACTGTATATGCATTCTTAAATTTAGATTACTTTTTTTCCTGTACTATATTAAAATTTATTTGTTTGTAAGCTTAAAATAGATTCTTATTAATTATATATTATTAAAAATGCATTTATAAATAAAATACAGAACTGAAAATGGTTATTTGTGGTTTAGCCTAGTAACAAGTAAATTCGACTTGCGTCATTTTTCGACTTAAGTCACCTCTCCTGGAACCAATTACCGACGTAAGGCGAGGTATACCTGTACTGTTTATTACTTCTTCATATGAAAAAGCAATAAAATATTTGAAAATATGAAAGATTGTACAAATTAAAAAATAAAAAACAGTGAACAAAAATTAATGTGACATTGTCACAATGCTGGCTTCAATTTTTAATTTAAAATATATGCTTTTGGTATTAATATTGTCATGCCCTGTACATCATACTTTTCTTGGTAACAACAATCATACCAGTTATCTATGTAACTCCATTCTGGAGAAAATTTTCAAATTGAAATCACATGACTTCCAGTCTGAACTTAGAAGTTTGTATATTGTCAATTGAAACCTCTGGCTCTCTATGGAAACTTTTCATAACTGGTCTCAATTTTTATCTATCTAATTTTGTTCTTGTGATTTAGGAAGGAAGAACAGACAGATGCCAGTGGGAATTTATAGATTTGCAATTTGAAAACTGAAGCCCAATTTCAATTTTATCTTTTTATTTTTAATAATTTTTATATTTTTTCACACTTTTTATGTTCTTTATTTTTATAAAACCAAAACATAGCAAAAAAATATAAATAAATAAAACTCTTAAAACCAATAAAATCTGGTTAAAAACTCTATTGGTTTTAAGGTTTTATTTTTTTTACTACCTTTATTAGTCTACTTTTTATATGTTTAACCAAAATATTTTTAAACTACCTTTTGGTATATATATTTTTATATATATATATACTTAAAATGATCATTAGGGCAGTGAACTGATTGTTAAATTATTTGAATCCCACCACTTGAAACATTATACAGAATTTTCAGTGTCACCTCCAACTTTGTTCACAGCTTGCATGATGTTGAATTGCAAAGAAACAATTTTTGAGAAAGGTATATTTGTGTGACAAGTTGTCAGAAAGAACAGCAAAAATAAGAGAGGTGTTTGTTATTAAATTTGGCATTATTTCTATCACTAAAATTAAATTGATATTGGCATAAGTTGGAACTAGTCAATAACTAGAGACACACAAAATACCTTACACACTTTTCCAGCAAATTACTCTTTAATCAAACTAGCATTTTTGGCTTTATTAATAAGCTTTCATCAGGTTTTTGAAATGATGTGCAATGTTAGATTTGAAAGACATTTAAAATACATTGGCTCAACTAATAGATTATTTACATTCAGAATCAATGAGCATAAATACAATAACAACAAAAATATTTTAAAAACCATTCTTGTTCAATATGTAGCTAAACCCAGAGTGTCAGAAGATTTCAGCAGGACCCAACTTATAAAATGAGTATATGACGGACAAAAACTAAGGATAGTGAAAATATTGGAAATATTTAAATATACATTAACAGAACATTGCATTAACAGCAGAGATTGTGAATTGCTATCCTATGCATGGAGGTTACTATTTGATAACCCCTTCAGAATCAAAGGGTGGCAAAAATAACACAGTGCAAAACATGACGTCATGATTTCAAATGATGACAGCACTTCAAATGATTTCATTTTAAACATAAAATAAACTATATACTGGATAGTGAATAAGTTAAAAATCACAACTTTATCAATTCAGCAAATGATTTTTAATACCATAAAAATGTTTTTATTATTGTTCCAAATTGAATCTCATTTCAAAAACCTGATGAAGGCTTATTAATAAAGCCAAAAACGTTAGTTTGATTGAAGAGTAATTTGCTGGAAAAGTATATAAGGTATTTTCTGTGTTTAGTTACTAAAATTAAAAAGGAAAATATTGTTTATAAATACAAAAGTGATTAAGAAAATTATTTTGCACATTAAATTTATATTAGTATTCAAAAATAATTATAAAAATATTTAAATACTCAGTGAAATTTATTGCTATCTAATGCTTTTGATCATCATTAATAATCTTTCTCAAATTCAATAAACAAAACAAAAGAACAGACCATTTTATTAATGTTTTGTTTCTTTTCCTTTTGTTCTACTAATCAAACCTGAGAAAGATCCTAAAAGTTGATCAAAAATAGACAGCAATAAATTTTGCTGGCTATTTAAAGATTTTTGTAATTATTTTTGAATGTGTTAGTATTTCCATTTGATATTAATTTTTATGAAAAATAAGTAGTAAAAAGTAATATCATGAAAAACAATATTTTTGTCCAAACTTTTTCAAAATATTTTTCTGATTCAATATCATTTTGAATTGGACATAGTGCATCAATTATTAAAAAGAGTGACTGTGATACCATCAACTTTACATTTCGTTGTTTTCCTATAGTGTAATATAAATTGTTTTCCTGTTTCTTAAATTCTATTCTTGCCTCTTGTTGCAGTCCAGTTTGGTTTGACTCATATACAAGACTCTTCCATTGCAAAATGATGTTATCAGATAAGCAATGTTTCCTCTAATTTTTGTATAGATGTGCTGTGGCAAAATGTATCTGGATAAAAATTTTCAGATGAGAAATCAGATAATGTTCATGTAAACTTTTTTGCTTAGAATCATTTATACTATCATTTCCCAGAATATTGCAAATTCTTCCTGAATCATCTTGTTTGTAGAAATTACTTGGATTGTCATGAATGTTTTATATGTAGATATCCTCTTGTTGACTGTATGCATGGGAATTAAAAGCATCTGGCATCACCAAAGAAGTCAGTGCACAGCTTAAAATGAATGTTGATAGCATGTACATCATGCCATCATTACTTTCAGCAGTAGAATTCCTCATAGTGAAAATAAAACTGAATTTAAATAACCTTATTTTATGAAATGTTGAATAACATGATGTTATAATGTATGTCGTAGTAAATGTTATTTGAGAAAAAGTTAAAATAGGCTTTTTTTTATGAAGGTCAAAAAATTAAATAAATTTGTAGTAACACAGCTAACATTACAAGTTGATTAGTTCAAATTTATTTCTAGAGAGAATGCTACAAATAATGTTTATTTATAAATGGTATTAATTTCATAATTAAATAAATACTATAAAAAATTGTTGGAAAAAAGCATCAGATCAGCAGTTTCATACCATTTTTTAAAAATATTTAATACTATATTAAATGTTAGTGTCTAAACACATTTTAAATGTGTAACAGCTTTTAAAATATGCTTAACGCTGATTTGATATAACGCGGTCTGCTCGAAGCCTAAAAAAGAGCTTAAAATTTATGCTGATTCAAATTATCATGGCGTTTTATTGGTTCGTATATAATACGATTATTTACGAAGACAAACCAATCAGAAAAAGGTGCGCTTTCTTTAAATCTATGTTTGTTTGGTGCAATTTTGGGAAAAAATATAACAGCATGGATGCCATAGTCAGTATCAACTTCACTTGGCAAAAATTAACCAATAAATGCACGAACGGAGTGTAGAAGAAGTTATAGCTGAAGGTATTCAAGAATTCTCAATGAGAAGAGCCTATCGCTGTATCGTTAGGTTGACCAAAGTCAACCTAATCGATACAACAGGACTAAGAGATGTAGATGAGCAGGATATTGAGGAGTTACAGCAGGTTTCTGGTGAGAGTCTTACCAATGACGACCTTCAAGAACTGGAAAAACAAGGAATTCGTGTAGAACTGGGAAATAATGATTCTGAAAACGAAGAACCCAAAAAATTTCTCTGCAGATTTCCTTAGTAAAAATTAGTAAGATACCCGAAATCGTCGATCAAATTGTAGCAAATGATCCAGATTTTGAAAGGAGTGCAAAACAAAACAAGGTGTTTTGGACGCGATCTTCTGCTATCGAGATTTGCTTAAGGAAAAACAAAGGCGACAAATGAAACTTCACGACTTTATGGCAAAAACAAGAATAATTGTATACTTGCTTACTGGAGAATTTAACTTAAAAATAAAAAACCATTTAACTATCCAGCATAATTCTTTAATAACATAAAATTTCCCGTTTCGAATTAGAGAAATAACTGATGATGAACGCTCAATGCGTTTGAAAATGTTTTTATGTTATTAAAGAATTATGCTGGATAGTTAAATGGTTTTTTATTTTTAAAAACAAGAATTTCAGAAAAGTTTGGACCTTCATCACAAAAAATGAACTTTACATTTCTGTGTGCCTGTTTATATGTTATTTAACATATATTGTTATATAAATTAATATAAAAGTAACTTAAAATTAAAATAAAATTTGTTTATTTTTGGTTGCATGTTCTCCTATCCCTATTTACTCTATGTTAAAATGACCTCATTTAACCGTTCATTTCGTTTAGTGCTTTGTTGTCTAGGAATGCATCCCCTGCATTAAGCGGCGTCTTACTGTATGATTATTAGATATAAACCATTGATTTAACTATACACTGTTAGCATGTAATTTTGTTGATTTTATTTTTGAATAATAAGTTAGGAAAGAACTTTTATTTTACAAAAATATTTGCACAAACATAAGCTAAATGACACACAAGTACACTATTTTAATAAAATTTTAATTCAGTAACTTATTTTTGTATAATCATAATATTATTTGGATAAAAACTATTTTATAAAAATAAAAATTTTATGAGTAGTAATATAAAAAGTATTTTATTCTTATATTGTGATTCTTGTTATATTTGGATTTATATGACAGAATAGTTGATTTTGAAAATAATGTCTTCTTCATAAAAAAAAAAAAAAAAAAAAAAAATAAANACAATAAACTACTAGATAAAATAGTTGTTTAATATAATTTTTAGTTATTTAATATTTATTTTATATGTTTTGAAAAACTATATATTACTTAATTAAAATGACTTTTTTCAAATATATTTTAATATTTGTATAGGATATGGGTTAATCCTGTTTTCAAAATGCCAAAACCAAGTACAGCAAAGTCACCACCAAAAATAGTTTATCCTTCTGGAGTAAAAGAAATAAATGAGGATCTAAGTACTGATGATTTAGTAAGACGATTAAAAGTAAGTAACTTTTTTTTATATATAAAGACCATTTCCAGGAAATTCAACTTAAGGTCATTAAGATCATTAATAAAAAATAAGGATGAGCAGTCGGTGTTTTATGAGAATATATTAAATTTTACTTGTTCAGTTTTAAAAGCAATAAAATATGCCACAAAAATAATATTATTAACCAGTTAATTAATGAAATTACTAGTTGAAATGATTGGAAGAATTTATGATAATTTTAGTAGTTATATAACAATAAAAAATTTATTTGAATTTATGTAAGAATATTAACAAGATTTCTATAAATATTTGAGAAATATAAAACTTTGTATCTTCTATTCATTTACAACAAAAAAAATCTGCATTATTGTATCTCCAGTAAAGCAATTTTTTATATTTTAAAACATTTGGAGTTTTTTTATTAATTGTTTAAAACAATTAGAATCAAATAGTTATCAAATATAAGAATTTGGCTGTATTCTTATTGTGCTATAATATGTCTAATTAATTATGATACTAAGTAATTTGAACTAGCGGTAGGCAGTTAACCCCTTTCGCAGTATTAGCAGATTTAATAATGTCTATTTTTCACGATTGTCGATATCATCGTTCTCGGAATACAGTATGCAACAGTTAAATCTCGAACACGCATGCCACCTTCATATTTCTCAATAATCTCTTTTTTCAGTTCCATTGTGATTTTAGTTTTCATTTGCCTTTTTGCAATTCATGATTAATAAAAATAATAAAATTTTACTTACAAATTAAAATCAGAAGAAATTTAACAAAGTTATAAACTGTGGCACTGCGAATGTCTAGTCTGGTCTAGTACACCAATAGTGCTAGTTGTTAATCATTGGCACGTATAATTGAATTAAGTCATATACCAAGCAAAATTTGTTTCATCCAAACAGGACGTATTCTGAATTGGACATATTCTAAAGCAGACATATACCGAGGTACCACTGTACTTAGATTTCCATTTTGTAATATAACATGAATATGTCAAACATATGAATAAAAGCCAGTTGTAGGTTTTAGGTCACAATTGATTCTGACTAGTTATTTTGTCTTGTGATTTTGCTGTCGCATAACTACTGGATAAGATTATATAATTTAAATTTTTACTTAAAATTACTGGTTCTTTTTTCCACTCTCTTCTGATATTGGTTGTTAGTTTTTTTTTTTTTTGAAATAATATTCATCATATTATATCACTACTTAACTATTGATGTTATTGATTTTACTATATTTAATTTTTCTTTTGTTTTTATCGTGATTTTAAATTTTGCATTAGTAATGATGATAACCTCTTTTGTTTTGGCCTAGGAGTTTAAATGTACATAAAATAATTTTTAATTTGAAATTGAATATGATGATAAAGATCAGAATAGTATTATTAATAGAAGCAAAGAAAATTTTTTGTATACAGTAGAGCGTCGTTTATCTGAAAGTCGGTTATCCAAAACGTCGATTATCCGAAAGAATTCCAGTCAGCAAATTTAAATTTTCACTAGTGCTGTGGCACTACAATCTTTGGCTATATCTTGGGCTACTCCAATATTTTTTTTTGTTGGTGTGTGTGTTTTAGCTGGCAGCACTGGTACTTTTGTGTGGTGTTTTTCTGAGGACTGTGTGTCGTGTTGAATCAAACGTTTTTGATACTAGATCAACTTCTAAAGTAACCTTCTTTGGTTTTTATATTTTTTTAATATATTTATTTTATTTGTACAAAATAAAAAAATAATTTTTAACGATACAATAGCCACGATTATTATTTTGAAAAGTTTACATTAGGCTTAACATCGACGAAAATTCAATGCGAAGCGACACACAACGGAGAAAAATTTCAACATGGGATAGGTTAATATATTTTTTTTTGTACATAATCGGTTATCCGAAAAATAAGTTATCCAAACAACCCCAGTCCCCAATTGATTCGGATAAACAGCGCTTTACTGTATTTACATGATGTTCATTCTACTTATTTAAATTTTTCATTTCATAAAATAATAAAAAATATAGTGATTCAAATAGTAATAAAATTAAATATTAATTAAAAACATATCACAAGTTTTCTGCACAAAATATAGTCTAACAACGGTTAGGTTTATTTTCTATAATCATCATCACCACTTCAATATTTAATCATTTTACCACTATTTTTTCATATACACTTATTTTAAGTCTATAGTTCTTCATTTATTATTTATTTTTGTGAATGGTTGTTTATATGAATTCTTGTTATGCAACATTTCAGATATTTTCTTTATGAGAGTTTAGCACATGTCCATTCACTGACTCAATTATCCTTTAAAACAATTTTACTTGAACTCTAATAGCTATTGGAACAATCATCCATCATAACAACACTACTGGTGTGAAAATTCAATAAAGTAAATATGCTTCAATAGCTATTAGAGTTCAAGTAAAATTGTTTTAAAGGATGATTGAGTCAGTACTGATATTCATTATCAGTACTGACTCAATCATCAGTACATTTTTCATTTTTAAAGTAAGTTGTTGATGTATTTTACAAATTTTTGTTTTTACTGCAAAATACAAACCTTTAAAAAACACCGAAGAAACCAGAATATACTATAAATACTGACAGATACATACCATACATTTATTGGGGGGGAAAGTTGCGCAGAATATAGAGTGTTTTCTTTTAAAAAATTGTTAAATAATACCATTCAATTTATGGAAACATAAAAATTGACAAAGATCTCCGAAAGTGATTGAAAACATTTGTTTTTTCCAATAAATGTAGCTTCTGGAACCAGTACAGAAGGTGTCTGTGAGTATGTATACAAATCTCTTTTAACTTTTTATATAATTAAATATAAAAACATCTTACCACTGGGGTATTTAAATTTTCTTTAAACATTTTTCAGCTCTATTTATGAGCTATTGTCAGATAAACTCTGTTCAAATTCTACATAATCAGCATTCACATATATACATTTTTGAATGTGAGACAAGCTTAATGATCCTCTTATTAAAAATGTCTATTGCCATCCTAAATGGACTGGTGGCAGACTTTTTTAATGAGGGAATTGCCAACTAATTGGTGACAGTTTTCTTTACGTCATTGTCCATTTGCAATTATTCAACCAAAAAGTCCTTTAACTGAAGGAAAAGATGAAAATCAGAAGGTGCCAGGTCTCAAATGTAGAAAGAATGGTCATTTTATTCACATCAAACTTTTGCACTAATGTTTGCATTTTTTAAGCAATATGGGAATGTACCTGGTACTGTATATTGTTACAAAACATACAAAGGTGGATCAAATATGAATGGTAATTTTGCTATTCTGCTTACCACGCAGTTCCTAGCTAGATGATGTAGAGTGTAGTTGATGTTTGGTTTGTGAGGAGTAGGGGAACTGGCTTTGTTAATGATTGCTCTTGGTTCTGTTGTCAGTACAGCCATGACCGATCAAAAGGTACATTCGTCTGTTGCACAACGCATCATCATAAAATTTTTAACTAATGAGGGGGTTAAACCCTTGGAAATTTTTAGTCAATTGAAGGCACAGTTTGGGGACAGTACACTGTCTCAGAATTGTGTGTATACATGGGCCAGAGAATTTAAGGGTGGGCGAGAACATGTCGAAAATGAAACTCATAATCGACGCCCAAGGACAAACCTTACAGATGACAACATCCGTGCCATTCAAGAACTTATTGAACATGATCGCCGGCTAACTGTTGAAGAAATCTCATCAGAAGAGGATATCAGCTATGGGAGTGTTCAATCCGTTATCACTGATCATCTTGGCTTCAGAAAAATTAGTGCCTGATGGGTTCCGAGGTTGTTGACCAGAAATCAAAAACAGGTCAGGTCAAAATGGGCTGGGAAACTCTCGAACACCTTCCTTACAGTCCAGACTTGCCTCCCTATGACTATTTTTTGTTTGCACCCTTGAAGGAATCACTTGGAGGAAAATGATTCACAAGCAGTGAAGAAGTTGAGGAGCACGTGCACAATTGGCTTATAACTCGCCCTCAATCTTTCTATGAGAAAGGGATATTGAAGCTTTAAAATCATTGGCAAAAGTGTGTAGCGCTTGCAGGAGGATATGTAGAGAAGAACTAAAGTTTTCACTTGTGTATATTATTAATCAATAAATTTCTAAAAGAAAATTACTGTTTATGTTTGATCCACCCTTGTACTACTATTTTAGAGAATAGGTCTCATCAGTGGTTTCAAATAGTATGTCATAGTTCTTTCAATACTTTACAATACTTATTAACATTAATTGTTTTTCTCAAAGTAAAAAATTGACCAAACGAACAACCAAAATATTGTTAACACAACTTTCATGCTTGAAAATATCTGCTTGAATTTGTTTGGTTTTGTCAGAGAATGTGCACATCATCAATTTTTCATTAATCAACATTACTGATGGCAGATAGGTACTCTGAATGGGGTTCATCACAGGCATTTGTTCTTCCTTCTTTGAATAGTCAGCACCTTTTATACACAGTCCCTCTTATTGGGCTCCAATTAAAAAATTGTAGACCTATAAATTCTTATTGTCATCTGTCTGTTATCTTTTTTTAATCTCAAGAATGGAGTTAGATAGATGAAAGACAAGACCAGATATGGAAATCTTAGAGACAGGAGGCCCCAATTAACTATATACAAACTTTCGATGCAAACCAGAAGTCACATTATTTCAATTCAAAAATTTTCCCTGAAAAAGTGTTAGTGACCAACGTAACTGTGTTGTTAGCAGGAAAAATATGATGTACAGGTGCAAGACACTACTAATTTGAGGTTGAGAACATATATTTTAAATTAAATAAATTAAAAATATGATTAAAAATTGCAGCCTAGCATTGTGATGACGTCACAATAAATAATTGCTTGTTCATAACATCTTCCCCATAAACCTCAGTAAGCTGACAGCAGATTTCAGTAGGTTGAATGTTTTTAAAAAATACAATTGCGAGGTGTTCAGTTGTCACTGAACACTCTCAATTGGAGGATTGGTAATTGACATGATTCTCTATAAATAAATGGAAAATATTGTTCACAGCATGTAAAAACTTAGAACTTTCTAGAAATGTGAACAGTCTATAGCAGAGGCCCAACTTATTAATTTTGTGTTGTCTAAAATTGTTAATTATTGTGTTAAGAAAGAAGTACATATATTACTCTATCATGTATTTTTTTTATTTTAATAAATGTATTTTAGTATAATGGTTTCTTTTGTAATTTTATTTTAATTTAAATAAAATTATTCTGATAAGGGTCTGTGACCTTCATCTGACTGGAAAGAGGTCCAGGAAACAAAAATGGTGAGAACTTTTGAGGTTCCAGACAAGGTTCAAAATCAAATTAATTATATGCTATATGAAAAAAAAGGGAAGTTACTGTTAAATCATAAGAAAGGTAGCATAAGTTATGTAACACTGAGAGAAAAAAGAAAAAAAACTAGATGTCAAAACAAATGTACTGCAGAGATCATAGTGGAATGTCAATCTGGAGAAATGGAACTTTGACAGAATGCTCATATACAGTATAAGTGATCTAAGTTAGAAAATTGGGAAAAGGGGAAAGACTGACAGTCAAAGGACAGTATGTTAGATTGTTGAAATTCTAAAACGTCAAAGAAAAGGCATTAATGAAAATGAAACCTATGCTCTTATTTTCACACAAGCATAGGTTTCATAGTTTCATTGACATCTCCCAGTCAGAGTCAATGGATGGTATCAGGTAGACTGTCTGAAATGGACCTTTCTTGTGGCCTGAACAAGTTTGATTTTCACCTGGAAACAGGAGAGTGACCAATCAGGAAGCGAGATGAGGGACATATGGCTAATCAAAAAGGCAGACGAAGAGAGAAAAAAACTGTAAAAACCTCAAAATCCAAGGTCAAAGGGCAGTTTTTCCAATTGTGTTTCATGATGAATCTGTGCCACCTGGAAGAACGAAATTGCTATAGTTTGGAAAACACCAGTGTCTCTACGAGCAATCAATTTGAGTCTCCCACACCTCTGGATGGACTCAGCAACATTACTGCACAGGGGCCATCCTCAGTCATCTACCTGTCATTAACTACCATGTGTCATTGGACTCTCTAAATCATCTGTCACCACACCCATAAGCACAACTGAGGCTATGATTTTCATGGAAACACGAACGTCATTTGCATCAAACCCCGACAAGTGTTATGATCTCAGAAACAAACTGTTTACTAGCATTATGTAAGTTACTTGTAAGTTTGCAATAAACAGTTTTGTAAGGACATGTGTCATCTCTGCCTGTAACTTCACCACCCACATGCGAAAAGACCCTAGACCAGGGGTGGCCAACATGAGGCCCACGGGCCGCATGCGGCCCGCCGGGAGTCGTGTTGCGGCCCGCGGAGATAGGTCAAATGAACATAAATGTTAACTTTATTGTACATATCACCAAATGAACATTAGAAGAGTTAAGAAGGTTTGGAAGAGTTCTATGAAACGTATTTGGACAAGGATAAATATCTTGCGTTTTACAAACATGCTCTGTCAATGGTTTCGCTATTTGGAAACACTTATGCGTGTGAACAACTTTTTAGTCGTATGAAGTACATCAAATCACAAGTGAGAACACGAATTACTGATGTTCATTTGGAAAACTGTTTGCGTGTAACGACTACATCAGTCCAAATCAATTTTGATGCACTTACTTGTTAGTTCTGTAAAACAAAGTCAGATGTCTCACTTTTAAATATTTTTAAATTGTCTAATAAATATGTTTCT